AATAATAAACCCGTCACACTAACGAAGATCACTGCATTAACGATGATGATAAAAATGGCGATGAATAAACCAAAGTTACGGCAACGCACTATGCAACGTAATGGTTTATAAGAATCACAGATCTCTATCGTCTTTTCCTCTGTATCCCACATGCCTCCCTAAAGCTCAAGCAGCATCAGTGATGACTACTGTTTTTACTTGTATTTTTTGACAACAGCTGATGTTGTATGAGTCTGAAGAAGGTGAAAAGCAACAGCATTTGAAAGAAAGCATGGAAATGGATAATTTGTATCCGTTGCTGTTTTTTCTTCATTGCACTCTCATGATGCGACCGTTTTGCCGCCTTTCCTTTAGCTAAATTAATGGTTTGACGCAGATCTCTATTTCCATGCCATTAGTCAGGAGTTTATGTCATTATTCTTATCATGTTCATATCTATGGTAAATGTGAATATTTTTTTACCGCAGCATCATTTTCATTGTCTTCTTAGTCATTTCGTAATTGTTGTATGCTGAAGAACTGACTACTTATTTTTGATCAGTGTTATTAATTTTTTACTAATGTACTTAAGAAATTTCTGTCATATGTCACATTATTAGCCCTGCTGAGGTGCCATTTTAATGGTCAGACAAAAAATCCGGATTATTCTGCTGCTCGAGCCCTGTTAGTTCAGATGTCGATGATAGAGCAACAACAACAGCAAGATCTTTTGATGGACCCCGTATGTTTGAATGTTAGGGGTGTAGACTCTAGCCAGGGGATGGTATTCAAATTTCTGAATTTCTGAGTGTTTTCTCTATTCTCTATTCTTTTACTCTTGTATTGTGAATATTCCTCATATTTTTTGCTGAATCCTCTGTTAAGTTTGTGAAAGAAGAGTTACATATCGAAGAAAACGACCGCGTAGCACGGCGCAACGAAGCGTTTCACCACAACAACGACGAGTTCGTCACTGTGGACGAAATGTGGGCGCGTTGGTTCAAGTCGGCAGGTATTTTGTGCCTTTTCGCGCCGACGTTTCATAATGTTGATGACATTAAACTGAGCACAATGCTTTGCAGAACACAATTGGACTGTGGATCAGATCATCGACTGGCTGGTGTACAGCGTCGAGTTGCCGCAATACAAAGATTTGTTTTTGAGAAACGAAATCAACGGATCTGTTCTTCCCAGGTAAACTCCTGACCATTGCAATTCATTAGTTCCTGTGTAAATTAGTATTTATTGTTGACCTGTCGGTAAATGGTACGTCCAAGACCAGATTTCACTTAGACAACAACGGCCACAATTAACTAATCTTATTATGACATTAATGGGGATTACCAATAGTGATCTCGATGCCAGCGTTCTTCTGCCTCGATGAATTTGTCGCCACAAGCTTCCGTATCTCACTAATGTTGTTCCGTCTGAGCCGAAATCTTTCACTTGGGTGCTTCCAGTCCCTTTTGCACAAATTCTTTGCTGCTGAATTCTATCGGTCATCCGTCAGTCGAGTGATATAGACCGCCATAGTCGGACTGGAACTGCGTGCAGGGGATTAGCGGACGGGTGCTTTTGTTTGTATTTTCATCCCGTACTGGCTTTTGGCTACTGTCCACGCTTGTCAGACATCAAACTAAACATCCGTTTGCCATTCAGCCCGGCCAAATGGAATTCCAAGTGATGGCTATTTCGCTAGCTTTGAGTTTTTTTCAAGTCTTTGGCACAACTATCTCTTATTCGGCAGTTTCTCCTTTGCAATGCTGAGCAGTGCCTCATCTGGAGGAGAATATTTATAATACATTCTCGTGCTTTTAGTAGCCATTTGCCATTGTATTACGTCCCGCGTAATGTCTCATATGATTGCAAGCCATTTCTTGTGCTTTATACTTCTCATATGATCGAATTGATTCTGTTGTCTGTTGAAACTTTTGGCCTAAATGACTTTGTTTTATTGCCGTAAGGATAGCTTCACCAAACACAAACTACATAACAGCCGTGCTTGGTATCAGCAACCCCGTGCATCGCCAGAAGCTTCATCTGAAAGCGCTTGATTTGGTGCTGTTCGGCTATCGGGGAGGTATTCATCAGTCGTCATCGCGCTCTCGTCTGCCTTACTTTGAAATCACGAGCGTGCGCTTTAGTGCCCATGGACTACACGAAAGACGTCGTGCTGATCACGCTGCTGATCATCGCGCTTGCCGCTTACTGGTTCGCTATGTACCAGCGGAAGACGTCACAGAAAAAGCTGTCTCAATTATCGTCACATTTGGAGCGACTGAAGGATATGGAATCTGAGTTCTTGGGCTTACAGAAAAAGTAAGAGTTTAAAGTTTCATTTTGCGCGATTGTAGCAATTGCTTTCGCTAGATTCGAGGAAGTGCACACGAAGCAGGCGATTGAGAGCCCAGAGCAGTTCGACGACGTGAATACGGTAAGGCGAACTTGTTTTTGCTCATTTATGATGATCACTTGGCAGTGTTTGCTAAAAATCCTTTTTTGAGTTTTCCCGGGAACGCTTAAAGGCATGCATATGTTCTTGTTAAAGTTTACTCGCTTAGATGTCCCCAGGAAGGCACGCATATACGTTTTTTTGATTAATCAGTCATAACAGACAAATACAAGTATTTCTTTAAAGAAATAACTACTTAATGTGCAGATCTGAAGAGCTCATTATCAGTTGGAGCCGTATTTTGCATATTCTGATATCACATGGCAGTCGTGGTTCCAAGAGATTTTTCCTTCCTGTTTTAAAACGGTCTTTCTCCACTCAAAGCACAGGCAGTGCAGCGAAAAGCGTTTTCGCATGCCGTTATCAAATATTAGTAAGGACGGTGGTTTTCAGTTTTTCCGTACGTGTTTGTAGCCGAAGTTAACATTTTTAAAACTCTATTTGCTTTAATACAATAACAAGCTGACAGCTATTTCAGGGTTCACAACCTCACAGGACTGCTGTTTCAGGGTTCCTGACAGATCTTCGAAGCTACCGTAATGGTTCTGAGATATGCACTTCACGTAAAGATCCTACATGTTGCCCGCTGTTCGCGACAGGAGTACCGCGAACGGATAATGAAAATGTATAAAACAACAGCGAATAAGACGTGTATAACTCAGTACAGCTAGAAGGGGTAAAAATGTTTGTTTCAGTAAGGTAGCCTCTTAAATAATTTTTTAAACTATTACTGATACCGTGGAGTCATACATGGATTGAAGTTGAAGCGTCATCTGATTCTATGGATAGCACTGCTTCACAACTGGAAAAGTTCTTTATTAGGGTTACAAAGTTTTAACCGAACTAATATCAGACATTATCTGGGATCAGACAGTGCAATATCCATCCGTATATCAGTTGGTGTACGGCCCGACTATCACATAAATTGCGATGGAGCGACAAGTGTGCAAAGGGTTCATCCGGGATCATGTTCGAAGCACACAAATTTGATAATGGACTCGATTTGCAGACGTAATTTTTGCCTCGTACGACGCCAAAAAGCATTGACCGGCCATGTGACCGGTTGACGTCAAGAATTGCAAACAGCTGGGTGGTGTGGGGTCACAGTGAGTAAGAGGTCTGATTTCGATTATGAATCCGGATGTGCCGAGATCGATTCACACGACGTGAAATCTTTGTCTTTTCTACGAATACCCTTGAGTTAGGATTTGATCACACGTTGCTTCAGACCTCGGTTATTCGGTTGATAGAGCATCGGACTCAGAACCGGAAGGTCCTGAGTTCATGCTTCATTTTGGATTACTTGCCTTTCTTCCGTTCGAGGTTGACAAATGAGTACCACTCTGATAAATGAGTAGGAAAGAGACAGGAGAATTCATGATATGCTTACCAAATCGCTGCTGTTGATCTGCCTTTAAAAATGTGGCACTCTTGGCTCATGACATAGAAAGGGAGATCAGCGCACCCACCATTTACTTACTGAAAAGAAGGGGCTAGAATCGATCTCATCATGTAAGTATAAGGAAGGATCGACATTCCAACGATTGCAAACCTTCTTTTCTTTCGCTTGACCACCACCACTACCGTCGGTAGTTTAGGAACACGGGTAATCTGATGGTGAGATTATTTGGTCAGTAGTAGAAGCAAGATGCCTACTTTTCTATATCGTCTCTTCTCACAACCTGGGTTTTGTTGGTTCGCTGTTCTTGATTCTTCTGACTGCGAGTTGATCGATTTATTTCCTAACACTTCGAAGGGTTTTTTGATATTTTCTGGTATTTGGCTCCAATATCAAACTTTGTTAGTCGACGTAAACATTATTAGTAAAGGGGGCGGCAGTTCGAAGCTTATAGAGATATAACCATGTTTCCCCAGGGAACTAACAGTTTGGCGAAACATGATGTGTTGTCGGCCAAGGTTATAAGAGGAGCTTTGCCGTAACAGCCGCGCTGCACAGCTGGATGACCAATCGTAGAGAAAGGCTGTCATACGGTAATATTTAATATGTGGTGATTATGGTGCAAACCTTCTGTTCTTTCCTTTGAAGATGGCTCTCTAGAAGGCTACCCTTGCTACTGCACACTTGATGATGAGTGGCAGTTAATAAAATAAGAGATTGCAGTCCAAGGTGAAAAACGGAGAATGCAATTCGTCTTATTTTATTATTGAAGATCGACTATGAACTCTGAAACGGTAAGGCAGACCTGTTTAAGTCAAGAACCATCTGAAAACCAAGACTGACCAATTAACAGCGTTACCTGGCTTAATTTGTTTACTAAATTGGACGAAATTTTTAATTAGGCTGTTGTTCTCTTATCAAGCAAATGACTTTGAAATTATCCGGTTATAAGAACTTGCTGTTACCGATATCGTCTTCGTCTGTTGAATCGTGTAGGGCTGGAGAAGCGTGCCAGATTCTGCATTGTATAGAGGATTGCAACTGTATCGTTTTACCCTCACGTTTCAGTTTCTGTATTCAGTTTTTAGAAGTTCTCGAGTTTCGAACAGTTTAGAAGTTTCGAACACAATATCTGAGACTCTACACTTTACAATAAGATGTTTAAGTAACTTCTTAAATTGTGAACTTCGCACGTTTTGTAAAGAACAAAAAATTATACGATTTTATCATCGGCGTTTTACTTTAGCTTCGAGAACAATTAATCGAAGCGGAAAAAGAACTTGAAATGCGTTTACCTCGTCTGCAAACATTGCTGCGCAAAACTTACGACCTTGAGTTGCTGCATCTGAACCAAGAAAAGCGGGACAACCTCAAAGAGATGGAAGAAGCGCGTGAAATGGTATGCGGTTAAAAGATCGAATCATCCGGGACCCAGAATGTTCAACGTTTTGCTATTGAAGGTCGAAAAGCTGCGAAAAAGGCAGGCGGGCCTGCTGAACCAGATTCGGAGCGTGCATGGCTCAGAGACAGAAAGTATGGATCGCCGAATTTATGGTTTAAAGTAAGTGGGCGTCTCATATAAACCCGTATACATCGATAGTAATTTACGCTGTAGGCAAAGAATGGAGCGTACCGTGCGCGAAATGGAAGAACATAAGCAGAGATGGTCTCAGATCGAACTCATTTGCGGCTTTCCGCTGACTGAGGAAGGATTGATAAAAAGTGCCGCTGTCGTCTCTAACGAGCTGACTGTGCCGAACTTCGCTTCTGCTGTTCCTTTCGTTGCTGCTCACTTGCCTACGATGAGCGCATCGGCTTCGTTCAACTGCTCAGTCGGTTCTAAGCAAGGTATCCAACAGCTAAAAGCAGACAAACTTGTTTCTCATCTGTCGTCGGCCGCAGATTCGACAAACTAAAAATTGCCATCGCAGAGTGTAAAGTTTAATTTGTCACGTGGAATATGTGGCAGGTTCATTTGTGGCAGATCGAACGTCCCCTTGTTCAGCCCAACTCAGCAATTCATTCTTGAAGTGCAGTGCAGGTGCTCAAATACCATAGAGCCGCAGTCTGCTGAAATGGTCTCCCTACGTGATTACAAGCAAGCGGACGGCGCGCTTACGTCGAGTTAATCCAATGGCACAAATTGAAATGACAGATGTAAACTTTTCAGAGCACTAGTTTTGAAATGACTTGTAGACGCAACCCAGGAAGACATTTATTTTAACGCAGATATGCATAATATAGACCACGGAAATAGGTAATTCTATACTTTAGACAAACTGCTAAAACTCATTCAGCTCATTTCTCCGCATTTTCAAAGTACTTTGATTTGCTGACTGTTGTAAGCCTTTGGTTCTTGGTAGAGCAGAAACGTATCGTACTTGCTTTTGACCCATTAAGAACAGCAATGGCGATTGGCGACGGTTAGTTCACTGTTATGCTAATACATATTTGTAGATGGAGGATTATTATTTTCACGGGATTGTTTTTCACGTGAGTTGGTTTATTCAATGCGACTTAGCACATAAATGCTACTCAAATTAATCTCAAAGGTTCCATTGATGCTAGACTCGTTTTTAAAACAATAGCTTCAAACGAACTTACGGATCAAGGCAGCATATCGCAACGTACTCGGTCCATCAGTTTATTAAAGGACGAGTGTTTAAGTACACCTAGCATTGTTTTATTTTAACTTCAGCGCAGTGCAGTAAATGTTATTCTCTTTTCAGAAGAATGATGATATGATGAACAAATTAACTGAAGGTTTTTGCCCGCTTGACCATCTGTCCCTGATTGATATTCTATAATTTTTATTCCTTAATGTTATGCGTTTGACATGGTACAAATATTGTTCAGGCTTAGTCGATAATTAGTTAACGACTTCTGTTCACAGAAATTAAATGATTTATGTTTTCTTCAGGATGACTAACGCGGACGATAGCTCCCAATTTTTTCCTTGATTCATGGTGTCGTTTCGTTTCGAGGGAAGCAAAAAAACGCTTGTAACCATTGGAATGCCTTCCCATACACTTCCACGTCATGGCACTCTTCCGCTGATATAGCCTACTTTACAGCGCTGAGCTCTGTTTCGATGCCATCAGCCGTGGGTGCTTTATTTTGGCGTAAGATCTACAGCTATGTGGCAGTTATAACATGTAGCTTCTTGCGTTCTTTCCCACCAAGTGTCATTTTTTATCGACGTCAGGGGATGAAGAGGGAGTGACCCAGCTGGGGCTTGAACATTTTGTCGATATTTCGACCGTGAGTCAATGCGCTACTGACTGAGTATTCCTACTCTGTAAAGATTTGCCTTGAAGGACGTAATAAAATCTGACATAGTCCCTAATTTCACTACTACGTAGGCAACTGTTCTACTGTTCATGACAGACTTAAGACAGAAGCAGTTTTTCGTCCTGCGTGCGATTGCTAACTAAGGTCAAGATGCCAGTGAAGAGACTCGCGAGACATCTTCTTTCCTGAGATTCACCTGTAAGACGGTAAAGAAGCAGTTTTTGGGCCAAATGATTTGGATGTATGTAGCAGCCCCTAATTGCCTTGTCTTGGATCGTACAGTGGAGCATGCTAGATTGGCAGAGAACTTCAGCAGTTTGAAAAACCGATGTAGCAGTGCCTTTGCAACTTGAAAGGACAAAGTTTCACAGAATGAGAAATGAATCTCTGCAGTTCCCAACGTAACAGGTGAACTGTCCCGGATGCTATGTTGCCATGCTGAACACTTACTTTGTCACCCACTTCAATACACATTTTATTTTAATACTGATGTTTTTTAGGCAAAATGGTGCAAATAAAAGATGAGTTAAGAATCCTAGTTAAGTGACGCCCGTGTTTAAGGGTGTACTGTGAGTGAAATTTCACGTGATACTTAGGACATGAAGTCCACTGGTTGCATAAAAAATGTAATGAAATATTGAAAAAAATTTTTTGCACCCTGTTCATCTACTGTTCCATGGATGACGATCGATGAATAGTCGATTGAAACATTAGTCCAATAATTAGTTTCTTATTTACTAATTATTGCAGGTTCCCACGGGACCAGAAACATGGATGATCTGTAGTCACCAACCACGGAATCAGGATAAGTCAGGTTGTCACTTGTGTCGTTATGGTTAGTTTTATTATTTTTGTAATTGCGGGTTGTCCTTGACAAAGCGGGTCATTTTGGAGAACAGCAACGCAGTGTATTAGTATTTGCATATAAGAGATGACTGATATAAACTCCGAGCGCAAGTTCCCTTATTAAGTGCTAATTTCTTTCAGCAACAGATTCATCGCTCTAAGTTTCGGTGTTCTCATCCCCCCCCAGATTTCTAATTTTTCATTTTCTTCATCTTCCGTCGCCGCTTCTCCTTTCGGATCGCGGAGGCAGACGCGTCAAGCAGAGCTTCAAACGTTTCCGATCCTGCGCCAGAGTCTCAGCTTCGGCAGAAGACAACTGGAGTCTGGAACAGACACCTTCCGTATATTTGCATATTTAATTTCTAATTCTACTTGCTACCTCAAAATGGTAGGTGTTAAAACGGGTTCTCAAGACGATGTATGACAGATTCTGTAAGCTCTTGCAGAATCAGCAGTGCTGTGCCAGTTTGAGAAATATACCCTGTCAAGTGGACGAGACAACACTCACCAACCCGCCTTGCTGGCATGGTGAGTTATGGCCAAATCATTTTAGGTGAAATCACAGCTGAAACAACAGTTCTCGTTCCCCGGAGGCTAAAGTGCCGCCGTAGAAGACAGCGACTGATCAGTCTTTATGCCAGAGTTTTCGATCAGTGTGTGCTCTCACTCTTTGGGTGCTACCATCCTACCTGTGGATATGAAACATGGACCCTAAGCTTGAAAGCTGTACATCAGCTGTTAAGACTACGCAACGCAGCATGGAAAGATATATCCAGGAAATAGCAAAAATGATAGGAAGGCGAATGAATGGGTACGAGCACAGACAAGAGTCTGCGATGCCACTGCACGAGTAAAAACGCTGAACCGGCTATGTTGCACCGGACATGTTGCAAGAAGAACCGGCCATCATCGAAACAGCGGCACATTAGACTGTGCTCCAAGAGAGCGTAAACAGCACATAAGAATACCAGTAGACCGGCGGCAGGGTGAACTGTAAAAGTGGATGAAAATTACAGAAGACAAAGTCTGTGGCAATGTCTTGAAGAGACCTTCATCAGGCAATGGATTAAAAAAGTTAGGTAGATTATGTGTTTCTTTGTAGTCAGCTAAGCAACTGGACGCTAGTTGTTAGTCTGTGAACAATACCAATAACGTTTCTTGTATGGTTGTCTCTGAGCATGCAAGATAAACGGCCAAGCTGTCTGACGTGCCTACCATACGGTAATGATTCGCCTTGATCCACCGGCTAGCTGAGTAAAAGTTAGCACATGATTTAATTGGAATGAAGTTCTGTTTTAAGTTTTTAATTCCGAGCAGTCACAAAGACTTCAACACTGCTGACAATCCGGTTATTTTAATACCATTGTGCGGGGCTGCATCAGCTTTGCTCATAGCTTTCTCCATAGTTTTACTATTTTTATTTTGGTTTCACTGTTTTTAAATTTATTTGCTCATGTGTACTGAATGTCATAACCCTTTGGTGATCTTGTTAAAGCAGTATATTTTTGCTTTCACTTTCATTTCTTTTTCTGTGTATTCGTGTTTCAAGCCATGGACGGGTTTTACAGAAAGGACTGCGTATCATTAGTCGTATTGACTGTTACAAAATGCATTCAAACTTTTTAAACTAGTTTTTTTCGATGGTCTTAATCGACAGACTTTTAAGGGCCGTGGTCAAACAAGTCTTCGGTGTTGCGGCATCCAACGCGATCCGTTTCCACGAATTTGTCAAATGATAGAGGTAACGTTACAACAGCGTCCGACGCTAGCACAATCTCAGATCATGAAACCGTATATGGTGCCTTTGAAGAAAGCAAGTAAGCATTTTTATACGTATTTAATTAGATTTAGCTGGTTTTTATTGACATAAGAGTTTTTTTAATGATATTTGCCGAGTTCGATCATTTCAAGTCCTTTCTGTGTTCAGTTGAATAAATTTTGTTTTGTTTATCCTTAGGTTGTAAAAGCGATTGCCATATCATATTTGGTCATTTCTATCGGATAAATGCCGTTCTGCGCAATAAGCAGTAACTAAGTATTAACAGCTGCTTTTCGGGTATAAAACATAAGATACTGTCACTGGTTACCAGAAATACTACTATACTTATACTTTGAATAGAGCGAAATATTACGTTAAGAGATTTTGAATATTATCCCTGCATTCGATGTATCAATTAATTGTTTGCGTACGAAGTTGAACTTGGCATCAGGGTCCCTTTTTTGTATATCATTCAAAGGAGGATTGAAATATGTTCTTCGTTCATCGGGACTGATCTGCTCCGCTCAGTGTTTACCAGTGTTCTGTGCGAGGTAGGGCGAAGAGCTACCTCACTCCCTTACTCAGAGGTCAAAAACTAAAATAAGAACATTGCAAGATTTCTGTAAAACGAATATCATAAAATTACTTGCGCCCGCTGATTAAAGCCCTATGTAATTTACAGTTTCTTTTAGTAAGAAATAAGATAGATTAAGCAGAACTTTGTCCGCTTTCATGTCACCCATCCATTTCTTAGTTTCTCAAAACTTATATCATTGAAAAAGGATCTTAAAGTGATCCGCGTAAGAAACTAGACTGGAGCACGTACGATTCTACTTGGAAAAATTAGATGGCATTGAATGTACCAGAACTGTCTGAATTCTGTACGATATAACGAAAGTTAAGTATTCAGAAACATCTAGAAGTGTTTACTAGAAAATAAGATTCTTATTCTGCGTTGGAGAAGCATTTTAGAGTTCAGTTTGTAAAGACACAAACGGGCTGTTTTGATAATAGATCGAGAAATAAACGGGTAACGGCCTATAAAACTATATTTAATT